TTCGCGAATCATGTAATTAAAGAAATTCTCTAATTTTTTAATTTATTTTTTGGTTTAAATTATATACCTTTGCGCCCAAAAAACTGCGCGTGGCTCTTTTGCCTTTTTACTCGGAGTTTACTTGATTTTAATCGTGTAAGAGCCTTACTTTTATATCTTTTTTATATTTGATAAGGATATATTTGATACCAATTTTTAAAAAATCGATATTTGTGCGTGTGTGGATGCATGTATGAGTGCGTGAGTGGGTGGGTGAGGGTGTAAAATTAAAAAACAAACACATATTAGCCATACCACAAAAATTAGCAAAATTTTTATATTTGATAAGGATATATTTGATACCAATTTAAAAAAAAATCGATTGTACGTGTATGGGTGCGTGTGTGGGTGCATAGGTGGGTGGGTGATGTTGCAAAACCCTCAAAAAACACATAGTAACCTACCCCTGAAAATTTGCAAAATTTTGTTACCAATTTTGAGAAAATTTCATGAAAATCGGTTGTGCGTGTGTGGGTGCGTGGATGGGTGAGTGGGAGTGAAAAACTAAAAAAAAAACACATAATAGCCATCCCCGAAAAATTAGCAAAATTTTGATACCAATTTCGAGAAAATCGGTCCATAAATGTAGAACATAGTGTGTGGGTGAGTGGGTGAGAGTGAAAAATTAAAAAAAAACCACATAATAGCCATCCCCGAAAAATTAGCAAAATTTTGATACCAATTTCGAGAAAATCGGTCCATAAATGTAGAACATAGTGTGTGGGTGAGTGGGTGAGAGTGAAAAATTAAAAAAAAACCACATAATAGCCATCCCCGAAAAATTAGCAAAATTTTGATACCAATTTCGAGAAAATCGGTCCATAAATGTAAAAGTAGTTCGAAGTCCGACAGATAGACGTCAGCTACTTATATATATAGATTAGAAAGCAATATTTTTCATTTTTTGTTGTACTTATGTTATTTCTTTATTCTGTTACCGAGAATGACCCAAAGTGGGATCAAAACATTTAATTAATAAATTTTACTCACACAGTAATTATTAGGACATTTTTTTTACCTCGCGCTTGGCAATATCATTATTTATGTTTATGTCATTCTTTTGCTAACTTTTATAGATATCATAACATACGTCTGTACACATTTTGAGCAGCATATGAACTCGTATCTGTAACTATTTTTTCATTATATTTATGAAAAATGTATAATATTTAGAAAAATAAATACAATATGAACTTAGAATACATATAGTTTGCTATTTTGACTGGGTTGATTTTTATTTCAATTCTAACATTGCGCAGAAATGTGTCGAAATATGTATCATTAAGATTGATTTGGCATGTTTTTAATAAACATTTATTAAACGATAAAAATATCTCTGCTTGTCTTTAATCCATATCTAACTGCTAAATGCCCTATATTAAAAGATATTTAACTTTCCTTGCTCGCTATGAGTGTTTAAAAATGACAATTTAAAAATGGTTAGTTGCAACAACTTCCTGTGGGACACTCTGCATTTATGTTATTATTTAATATTTAGAATGCTTCATTAGATACATGGGGACGCTGCCTATCCAGGACAAGGAGTTAATCAAGAATGCTTAACATTAAGTAAAGCACCACATTTTGAAATCGGCGGTACAATTCATTTGGTAATTAATAATCAGTTAGGTTTTACGACTCCAGCTTCAAGAAGTCGATCATCGAGATATTGCACGGATTTAGCAAAAAGTATATCTGCACCTGTAATACACGTGAATGGCGATAATCCTGAGGTATGCTGCTGTGGTAAAATTTCACTATAATATTGATATTACCTTGATTGATGTAATCATAATATTAAAACTTTGTAGATGGTTGTACGGGCTGTAAGAATAGCCTTTAAATATCAAAGACAATTCAGGAGGGATGTTTTCATTGATCTAAATTGTTTTAGAAGATGGGGTCACAATGAATTGGACGATCCTGTGATCACAAACCCTCTTATATATAAAATTATACAGAATCGACCGTAAGAATATAATAAGCAACATGCTATTAGAATTATTGATTTATGTGAAAAACCAGAACTAATATTAGGCATATTTTCAGAGTAGATATCTTCTAACTTACGTTTTTCTTCACTTGTCCATTTCTGTGAATTGAAAATTAAAAGCAAGTTTTTAAATTTATATACTTATACTGTCTAAAATATCAAATAGATTATGCAAAGAGTATTGTAAAGTAACATGATTTTTATGTCTTATCTTTGTTGAAGAAAATATTTGTCATCAATATTTTTTAATCAATAATTTTTTAATCAATAATAGATAATCTTTGAATACTTTCTGCAGATAATAAAAAACGAACAATTTACCGGAAAATTTTTGACTATGATAATTAATAAGTTATTTAATAACTGTATTTAGGGTTTTGTGATTCTTTATTGATACCATACTGAATTATGACATCAGAAACTCTTTTTTTGAGAAATATATCAAAATAAATAAATTTTTTTTAATGCGATTACTCGTGTTCGATAACGTCGATTAGTAGAATACACCGAAGACTCTCTTTTTGACTCGTGAATTTAAAAAATAGCTGTAAATCTTGGTCAATCATTATAAAATCTATTTTTGCTGAAAATGTAAGACAAATGGAGATGAGTTTTTGTGTTGAGATCGCGTATAATATAATTAAAGATAAATTATATTAAGTTATAGATTGCGACATGGGCAAAATTCATAACATCAGATGTACTCCCAAAGGCGAAAAATAGCAACATTTGGGAACATTAGTATCTACCAGAGTTTTTGTGTTGCTAACATTGCCCATGTCGCAAACACGTAACAAAAACAACTTAGACGGTTAGACGATCGATACACATCAACCGACACGCGCGAGGCAACGACGTATGCAATGACGTATAGGCCGCTGGCCTGTCACTTGCGCTAAATTTGATCTCGCGCCGGAATTTTACTGCGCGCAAGACCCTCGCGGCGGCCTATGAGACACGGCGCTCGGGAGTCACCCCGAAAACAATTTAAAAAGATCGAAGTGGATCGAGTTGATTGGCAGCGAGCAACGAGAAGGATCGTTGCTCGAAAAATATAAAAGAGCCTACTTGCAAGGAGCGGGCGCACTCGCTTAGAACGCGCAGAGTAACTGCATATGTTTAACCGCTTTTTGATAACCGCTATCCTTTTTATACACCACATTTAAGACAACCGCTCGTTTTTTGGACAATCTCTTTTTCTTACTTTGCTGGAGATCTTTTGTAATCAGTCGTGTATTGTGTTTGTCGCCGTTATCTTAGTGTAAAACTGTTACTTTATTCACATTAATTGACGTTATAATTTATTTAATTTTTAAAGACACATAATTGAAATTCGTGAGTGCTTTTTTGTGACGTTCAGTCCATCCGCAAATTCTTACGTCTCGTCGCGCTTGAAATCAAGTCGCTCTGGAACATTTTTACAATTATTTATTAATGCAGGATAACAAAAAAGGGAATTTTCAGCATATTTTACTAATTCGTATTATCGAACACGAGTCACATTCAAAAAACTTATTTATTTTAATGTATTTTGTAAAAAAGAACTCATATAATTTCTCGCTTCTAAATCATAATTAAATATGGTTGCACTGAGGACACAGGAGCCTTAGGCTGTTTCTTTATTCACTGCGAGTACTGATGGTATGACTAAAGTGTACTACGAGGCGTTAACACCGTTTTAATTTCGTACATTTTTTTACTGTAGCGAGATTGTAAAACGGAAGTAGCTCCATATAGCTCCATATCCAGATAGCCAAGTCGGCCAAGATCACATATTGCACTACAAATTATGCACTACATATTACATCGGTAGAACTCCGGAAGTAATCGCGCATGATCAGTCGTCTTAATTAATGGCCTGCAGAAATACCAGAAGACAAGCAACCTTTGTGTCATACTGCAAAAAATGCTGCAAAATTTAAGCAGAAGTTCTTGACATAAAAATAAATATTAATCATTTTGTGTTGGCACGATTTGCAATAGAAACTAAATCAAAACTAAGCATAACATGACATCATGTTATATTGCCAGAGTATCATCAAAAATCAAACTCATCTGCAAGCACGGCATGATGGTAGAAATGCGGCAAAAATTGCGCATCCGCTGTCGTCTCAAAAGATAATAGCAGAAACACAGCATGGATTGTAACATTTATCCAATAATACCTATAATATTCAGTTTGTTATTGCATCTATGTTAATATAATTATGTTTAACAGATGTTTTATTTTTACTAGATTTTTGCCGTCATGTGTCGTGACAGCAATCTAAGCTCGATTTCGTGCAGCGTTTTTGTAGCTACATGCTTAATGAGAATGCATCACACTGGCCATGATTGAATTTGCTGATATACTGCTAGCATACTACTAATAATTTGCTATTTGTGTAGTTAGTGCTTCATCCACTGTTTACGATTGGTTTGAATGCTGCAATAATGAGTAGAATATGTAATACTGATAAAAATATAATTGCATTAACTGTAAATATTTATACAATAATATTTTATAAAAATATGTGATTCTATAGTGATACAAGTAATTCAGATTTCATTTTAACAGAACTGAATCGGTGAACATATATACTTATAAAACGATGCAAGAATTACGTAGAAAATATTGTGTCATTATATTCAGAAATGAAATTTAGAAATGATTGTAACGCGGTCACGTCGCTCGACGCACGGATCGGCTCGTCGGTGTCCGGGTTCGAGAGGAGGGAAGATTCAAGCTTGCGTAGACACAGTATAGGTAGAAAGATAGTTTATTGAAAGAGAAATATGTACAGAGTAGCGTGCAGGGCCGTGCGGTGTTAGGCGGCGTGCGCTGGGTGGCAGTCGCGAGCGCAGCAGGAAGCGTAAGCGCGAAGCGGTCGGCGCGAAGCGGCGTGCAGCGTGAAGCGGATTTGACTTAACTAAGG